ATCTAAGGTAACATTTATGCAGCACGTGAGACTTGAGACTGTATGACAGCTGCATGATAAACACCTATACCATGATTTCACCCATCGCCGCGGCGTGAAATCCGTACAGAATGTTTCAAATCTATTCAACCTAGTTCCTCCTTCGGCTAATAACTTGACTACACATGGTCCGTATACTCGAGTAAGATTTGGGACGCGGCAATTCCTGGCTTTGAAATAACTGCTCACCTTGTTGAATGCCGGCAGAGGAAACTGCAGTTCTTGAGGCTAAATAGGTCTCGATATTTGTCTGCATTGTTGGACACTATTTTACAGATACCTGTCGATCTTGGAAATGCCCAACCGGCACTTGCCAAAAAAGATGCTACATACCTAACGCAGATGGCAACCATACGATTACCTCTGGCAAATATAGAAGCTTTACCCAGGTAATACATTCAAGCCAGGTAACAGGTAACCGCCCAGGTATGTTATACTCTAGTCGTAGATGTTATTGGCAACATCCTCAAATTAATATCCAAAAATTGGATCCTCGCTCAATCATTCTACGTATTAACGGTCCTACATTATAACAAATTTGTCTCAGGTAACCTATCATGAACCAATCTAGGAGGTAGGTAACCATGGCCATTGCACTCCCAATCGAAAGTAATCTTAAACCTGACGAAACGACAGCCAAATTTTGCAGAACTCAGAGAGATGGTATGATTTCAAACAGGTTCCAGCCGGTTCGCTACCGTTTTCTTACTACGGCGCCAGACCTGTACGATGGTCACTTGGCGCTTTTCTTGCCCTTTGAATCCCTTGCTAGCAACCCGTTATTCTCCCAGATCTTCAAGATTTTTGCAGTACTCACTCGAAACCACAAATCTGTGCTGAGCTCATTGTCGGAAGTCCTTGGAGTACGCTTCTTTAGTTTTAACAGACCGCTTGGTTTCTCGAGGTCGTAGACATGTATGTGCATTAGATGTGCGTGCTCTTCCAGGATATTGTCATTATTTGACCTGTCCATAGTGCCAAATGCGAACACCCAGCCCTGCGTGGTGCCATCACGGGAAGTAGGCTCGTCAGTAAGAACGGTGTACGGATCGTCCCCGTGCTCAGGTTTATCAATTAGATCGTTGTGATATATCCGGACGATAGATGTAATGCGTGATTCCGATATGTTGCAGCCATTTCTGTGGCGTTTGATTGAGCCGAGCATCAGGTATTACTCGGGTTTAGTAACTTCTTAGAAGTAACTAAGATTATCACATCTCAGCTAAAGATGGTACTGATCTAGTTACCTACGTCCCTAATAGAAAGCTATATTTGAAGAATACGAATACCCTATATAAGATAAGAAGCTTTTGATCTGGCTTAGGACAGGTACGAAATGCGATGGCCGGTCCGTCACTATACGCTATGGTAATAGCTCCTAAAACTGAATTCCATGGAGATTAGGTATTACCCAGTTCTTATGCAGTTATACCCAGTAGCTGTCAGCTTATATATTGCATATTATAAATAAGGAAAAAAAGGTAACTTAGGTGTCTGTCCTACACTGTGCTAAAAACGCTATATAGCGCAATGTGTACAGTGCAAGACTAATTCAATGCACTTACGTAGACTGCGCCACGAAAGAAATAAGGATCTCCATTTTCGGTAAGGCTTCTAGCTTACGTCCTTCAAAGTCCTCTCGATTCATTCCCTTAGAAATGCCACATGCTTGATATATATCGTTTTTGAATGGCTTCATTAAGATCGTGGCCTTTATGCAGACCTAATGGCACATGATGGGGGTTCAAGGCTGACAGCTGTCTGGTAAGCTCGAGCTTAACCCCTGAGAGCGAACGGTGGCTAACTCACGACGCAGCTTTCTAGCCTCCTATATCTGGCTGTCATGTTCATTGCAGAGACATTCACTAATAGGTTAGCTCTTCTACGAGTATTCTTCTTATATAGTGTGCTTGAAGACTAATTCTCCTCTATAGACCAACCGCGACTGTCCTCATTTTTACTCCTATTTATTTCAGGCGCAGCGGCTTTCGGTGCTAGTCTCTTTTCAAAATGGCTTCCGGGCGCTGATGGCAGATTTGATTCGGAGGCTGTCCTGAAGGGGATGCAGTCATCCATGCCACACCGTCCCCGGCGCTTCTACGTTCCTTGTATAATATTCCTCATTGTCTTTCGACTGGAGATTGTACACACCGTCGTACAAGATTTCCAATGTACTATGGAAGGCATCGAGGTATGGACTATTCTTCTAACCCCCCTCTTCGCATACTAATCAGCTTGGGTAGGCATTTCTACCTGTACTACTAGCCGCTCATGAGTTCCTCTCTCACCGTACTCCGCCTGTCGCTTCCGATGAGCCTGAAGATATGTGGGGAGACCCATTGGAAGACTTCAAAGATTGGCTCATCAGCTCCCCATTCACTCTTCTCTTTAGCACTTTACTCTTTAGCTATGGCGTTTTCATGCTGGGCGATCTTACTCCAAGATCCACCTACTTCTGCTCGACCTTGATGAACCAGAGCTCATACTCAGTGCTCATGCAATGTTTGGGTGTCTTTATCGATGCGGTTGTTCTGATCATGATGTGGAGAGTGCTTTCTTGGGCGCGGACGACGAAGAGTCGTCTTCGAACGCTCGGTGGAATCCTCATTTTGGCGTCCATCGGCGTCTCGGCTCTTTGGGTCGAAACAAAAATTTCTCGACACAGCGAAGTTATCGGCCACCACCCTTTCAAGGGAATTGGTTCTCTCTATCTGTTCGACGTTTTCAGCACGGGACTACTCGTTTCTACTCTTATCATATCGACGGCACTTTGGGCTTGTGATTCCACAGTGTTGGAACCTACAGCCATTGCGACCTTCACCTCTGGTATGATGGGGAGCATTCAAAATGTTTTAATGATTGGATCATATCTGCAGCCTGCAGCCGGCCCACCACTGGTCGTGCTCTCTGTTATCTCTGTCGGGTTTATCTTGTTCACGTACGCAAACAATATGAGATGGATAGTCGTCTTCAAGCGAGTATTTCTCTTGGGATTGCTGGTTTGTATTATTCTCGCTTCAGGCATCTTTGCTCTAGCGAAGCACAAGCTGGTGGAACGCCATCCAGTTGACGACCTGATATATAGAAACAGAGTGGAAGCCGATCGCTGGCTAAGGCACGCAAGCGTAAGTACTACACTAAAGCTTGCCGTCGCCGAGTATAAGGATCGCCACAACGGGCGCGACCCTCCACCAAATTTCGACAAGTGGTTCGAATATGCGCGGAAGCAGAATTCCGTCATCATCGACAGGTTCGACCAGATCGAAAAGGACCTGCTGCCTTTTTGGGGGATGACGCCGCAGCAGATCCAGAACGGCTTTGAAAAGCTAAAGGGGTTACCGGATATCGGCATCATCACGATCGCTAACGGAAAAGCGTTTCATAATCGACCGCCGGATAGCGATGCGGAGTCAGTGCTGGAGACAGCAGTATGGCTGATTACCCCCTTTGCCGAGCATCTGCCTGATATGTCTATTGCTATTAATATGAGAGAGCGGCCAAGGATCCTGGTTCCGTGGGACGACGTCCATAGGTTAACCATAGCTGGAAGTCAGTCGCGATTCCAGCTTCTCCCAAACCGCTTACGCACAAGCCGGGGAGACGACTCTATACCAGCGGAAGGTACCCCACTGGACACATCCAAGGCCCAACCGTACGTATCTGCAAAGAAGTTCCGGCAGCTCGAGGCTCTAACATGCCCGCCCGGATCTGCCGCCCGAGGGGGCGTCCAGTGGGACGATCGCGACTTCTGCGCTTCGTGCGCCAAACCGCACTCGCAGGGCCAGTTCCTGGAAGACTGGGAGATGTACCTCGACCCGTGCCACCAGCCGGATATATTCAACCTGCACGACTTCCACACGACGCCCCACCTCGGCGATCTGCACCAGGACCTGCTTCCCCTCTTCAGCAGGTCCAAGACGGACAGCTTCAGCGACATCATCATCCCGATCCACAACATCTGGTCGTTCCTCGAAACCGAGCGGACGAAATTCGACAGCAAGAAGGAAATCGTCGTCTGGCAGGAATCCATCCGGGAGGTGGGCGTCGTGACGCCCCAGTCCCTCGTCGGCGGCCAGCGCAGCCGGCTGGCGCACCTGGTCAATAACGCCAGCGCCGCGGATGAGGTGTCGATGCTCCTGGGCGTGCAGGCGGACGGCAAGACCAAATTCCGGTACGAGATGACGCCGACCAAGGGCGCCAACGGCCCGTTGCCCCTCGAGTGTGGCTTTACCAATGCGGACCACCCGACCAACAACCTGCTTAAGGCGCAGCCTTGCGAGGACGCCAACTGCCAGCTGATCCAGCAGGAATATGGATTCAAGGAGCTGCGCAAGGTACTCGACCACCGGTACGTGATGCTTATCGACAGCGCGGACGGCCCGCCGCCGCACCTCCTGCCCGCGCTGCGATCCAACAGCGTGCCGGTGCTATCGTCGATATTCAGGGAATGGTATACTGAACGCTTGCTGCCGTGGGTTCACTTTGTGCCTATCGACCTGCGCTACCACGCCCTCCACAGCACCATGGCGTACTTCATCGGCCTCAAGAACCGCGGCACTATCAACGGCCGCGACCAGATCACCACGGCGCGCCTTGAAGACGCGCGCTGGATCGCGGATCAGGGCCAGAAGTGGGCCAACAAGGCGATCAGGAAAGAAGATATGGCAGTCTACATGTTCCGGCTGCTGCTCGAGTGGGGCAGGATCGTTAATAAGGATAGGGATAATCTGGGCTTTAAATTGCCGGAGTAGGTAGGTACTTCTTGATGTGGGCTTGGAGAGCTTGGAGAGGGAAAGACGACTTGTTTGGGGGAGTTGGTATGACGTGAATACACATGATTAACATACGTCGTGCTTGTACTGCCATAGGCGCTAAATCCAAACTTTTTTGTTTTACGCTACCCCTTTCCCACAAACACATTTCCTTGGCTGCGGGCTTCAGAGCCAAAAGAATAATCCGGCTGGTCCCAGAGAGGTTTGAACTCCCGACTTTCGTAATTCTTGTACGACACTCTGACCAGCTGAGTTATGGAACCCTTGAGGAGGTCGGCGAAACGGTGTGAAAATAGTTTTTGATAAATACATACATAGGTACTTACCTCCTAACCTAACTTGAATCTACCATTAAACATCCTTCGATGTGCAGTCGACCTGTACAAAGACAGACAAAATCTCGGGGGGGAAAAGGAGTAGAATGCGGCACCCGTTCACAGCTGCGGGACCGGCGTGAACTACTTGAGTCGTGGATGGCCCGGATAACTGAATGCAGCAATTGCCGACGCCAGATGAGAACGTTCTTCTCACTGCATTGTGACAGCCTGTAATATCCAAAAGGGGCTTATCGCCAAGTATACGGTATTAGACTATACCCCTAATTTTGACGCCTCGTCTCAGATCCTTCAGCGTTGGCATCGACTTTGGGTAGGCGATATGTGATAATATAGAGGCAAATAGATTTCACGATGCGATGAGATCAACCAGCGGTCTTACCCTCACCGGCTTCACAAAGACTCTTATTACATTCCATTTTCTCGCGAAGAAATCGAAAGCCTGTCTCTGAATTTCTCTCTACATGGGGGCGGTATATATGACGCGAGGGCTGCAGGATTTTGGAGTATAGTTTCTTACTTACCTCATGGTGTCCTATAGGCTACAGTGTCACATTGATCTGCTCGTCGTCAACTCTTGGTGATTGGAAACTGGCTTTTCCCAAGACCTGCTAACGCAACATTCGAAGCCGGCTCATCCTCCTCGTCGCCCATAGGTTCCTTGTGTACGTCGTTGACGTTGACCGATTCTTAGGAAGAACTAGAGAGTATCTGTTATTTCAATATTTAGGTATGTTCTCATGTTTCCTACCCGTGAAATCTTGTTCACTTCTCAAACATAATGCCACAAGACCATCCACGAGGCTGATGGTATTAAGGATTGTTCGGCTTGGAGCATTAATAAGGATGGTTGTTTGGGTTTGCTAGGAGTCTATGGTATGAGACGTTTCTATATGGTCTATGTGGAGAAGAAACAGTTGTATCAGGACTTGTGGGCAGACAGATTTTGATAACCGTAAATTGTTCGATGACTACATGTACCTATGGTCATGACCTTAGGTAGAATGTGAATTAGGTTGGGTAGTTTGTCACGGGGAAGTCGATAACGAAATCCACCTCGAAGCTTGCATAAGACGAAACCTGTGAGAATGTATAATTGCATATCATGACGTAATCCTCACACCTGGCAGTGTACCTGGCAGTGTACCTGGCAGTGTACCTGACAGGCAGCTATCTTTGCTCTACAGCTTCCCCCCACCTTGCATCTTGTGGTACGGTATAGAACCTTGCAACATTTGGAACCAATACAATCCCGCATCATCGACCTCACTTTATCGCGCCGTACAAACCTGCGACAACATAGCTACGTTTCCCCGACGTGGCAAACGTACCTGCGACAAAGAACTACAACGGCGATCTAATATAGACATACATCCAATTTGTGACTTTAAACTACCTAAATCCAAACGGCATTCGAATTGTGGATTAAAGCCGCCCGATTAAACTGGACTCAGGACCCCACCCACCACCCACCACCCACCACCCACGATGGCGGTCATCGACGAAGACACCTTCTCCAACATTCCCTGGAACAGCGGTAGCAGCTCAGCCGGAGCCCCGGACTCCAGCTCGTTGACGCCTCACATCGAAGCCGAACCGCCGAGTATCGAAGAACAACACCATGGCGCCGACCTAGAGCGTCAGGACCCGGGCCTAACTGGCGACATCCTCGAGTGCAATGTATCCGAGCCTCGCAAGGAACAAGATGGTTCCAAAGATGCCTTTGTATCATACCTGATTACTACCAACGTAAGACTAAGGCTCCTGTTAATTCTTGAGAGGTACGAATGCTTAACCAATTCAATAGTCAACATTCCCTTCTTTCCAGAAACCCACATTCACCTCCCGCCGTCGATTCACCGACTTCGTCTTCCTGTACAAGACCCTCACCAAGGACTACCCGGCATGCGCCGTACCGCCTCTGCCAGACAAGCAGCGTATGGAGTATGTACGAGGTGATCGCTTTGGACCGGATTTCACCAATCGAAGAGCATTCTCCTTACAACGATTCCTTGGTCGCATTACCCTGCACCCCATCCTTCGCCGAGCCCCCATCTTCCACACCTTTCTCGAGTCACCCGATTGGAATGCGACGATGAGATCTCGAGCATCTAGAACTAGCATAACCTCAGACCAGGGCAGTGGAGGTGTCTTTGACAACTTTGCCGACACATTCATCAATGCTTTTACCAAGGTACACAAGCACGACAAGCGCTTCATCGAGGTCCGCGAGAAGAGCGACAAGCTAGATGAGGATCTGGGTCATGTAGAGAAGGTGGTGGCGCGAGTAGCCCGACGAGAAGTGGACCTCGAGACCGACCTCCGAGATCTTGCAGAGCAATTCCAGAAGCTGATTACTCTGGAGCCGGGCGTGGAAAGCGCCGTCCATGGCTTCGCCGCCAGCGTAGAGGACACCGCGGCCGGACTGAAGAAGCTGCGCGAGCACACGGACCAGGACTACCTCGGCAGCCTGCGGGACATGCAAGCGTATAGTCAGGCCCTGAAGAACCTGCTTAAGGCGCGCGAGCAGAAGCAGCTGGACCACGAGCAGCTGACCGAGTACCTCAACAAGTCGACGGCGGACCGGGACGCGCTGTCGTCGGGCTACGGGTACGGCAGCACGGGGGCGCTGGGCGGCGCGGGCGGCTTCATCCGCTCCAAGATCGAGGACGTGCGGGGCGTGGACCACGAGGCGAGCCGACGCGAGCGGCTGCGCAAATTAGAAATGCGCATCGACGAGCTGACGACCGAAGCCGAGCGCGCCAAGAAGACGAGCGAGGCGTTCGACGAGGAGGTCGTTAAAGAAGTGGTCGACTTCGAGCGCATCAAGCGCGTCGAGCTCAAGCACCAGTTCGCCGGCCTCGCCGACGCCCACGTCGAGTTCTACGCCGGCGCCATCGACGTCTGGCAGCAGTACGTCCGCGACATGGAGCGCGGCGGCTTCGGCGGCTCCGAGTCGGCGGCTACCGCTTAGGGAGCCAAGGCCGTCCTCTGGGAGAGAGCGAGGGACGGGTCCGTTACTGTTGCTGGCGGCGGGGAGGAAGAGCGCGAGGACGGGGGTGCGGCAAATGACGATGATGATGGTCACGGCGATGAGAAGGATTCAAGCTTGGACTTGGTTGAAAACTCGCCGTTGTCGAACGTATGGGCCAATCAGGGATCGCCGAAGCACTTGGAGTACCACTGAGGTATTCGAGCGCTTGGAATGAGTGCCTATCTATCTAGGTACTTGGAAGTATCTAAGCAAGCAAGCAAGCTCGTTAGGTTAGCCTTGTCTATAGGGATTTCGAAGGCTGGCCGGGGAGAAAGGAAAAGTAGCATTAAAAGAGCTCAGCGAGTTCAAGCCAGGAGAGGGGAAGGAGATACGTACGGCGTGCGTATAGCTGTGAAGGGAAGTATTCAAGGACGGAGGCATGAGTGAAAACGGCGTTTCTGGGTGGTTACGAAGGGCCACCTGCTTCTGTCATCTGCGTTTCTTTTCGTTTCTGTTCTTAAGCATAGGGGTTCATAGGCACCGGTACTGGCAATTAATTGACCAATCCATTCAACGTGCAGCTGTACTGGTACTCGCGCGACATTGAGTTGTAATGGAGGCTAGAGGAAAGTCGATCAAGCACGCAACAGATTGTAAATTGGTAATATCCGTATTCAATTCACACACCCAACGCCGTACGAACTATGCCACATGCCCATACTACCTTAGGTATGGTTAGGTAAGTATATACCTATATGTATGTACAGACAGACAGACAGGAGGAATAACAATGTGGATACAAGCGTCCCATGGACGATTTCGAGGTCGGTTTGTTTTGTAATTTTGAAGCAGACGCTTTTACCAAACCTCTCTGTCCCACCGCAGACCCTATCTACCATCCCCTAGCAATCTCGAGCTCTGCTTCTCATTAGTCGCAGTTCTCCTCTCATCGTCATCGTCGGAATCGTCATCGGACTCCTCCTCTTCCTCTTCCTCTTCCTCCTCCTCCTCGTCCTCGTCCGAATCATTACTGGCGATATCGAATCGGTTATCCCTCTCCAGCTCGTCCTCGTCCTCGCTGCCGCCGGCGAACGCGTCGTACAGCTCGCCGCCTCTCCGCTTCTGACCGCCCTTCTCGCCGGTCGCAGCGCCGAGGCCATCTTCACCGTCCCCGGCGGTCAGCGGCTCGAACTCGTAGTCGTCGCGCGGGTTGTTGAGGCGCTGCTTGCGACGCACGAACCAGAACCACGCGCCCAGGCCCGCACAGAAGGCTACGATGAGCCCGATGGACCCATAGATCCATGCCTGCGTACTCGAGGACACACCGAAGGTAGGGAGGAACGAGGGGAGCCACGAGCTGGTGGCGGTGGATGACTCGGCGGCCGCGGTTTCGGTGCCCGTCTCGGTGGCTACGCTTTCGCCGGTCGTCTTGCTAGGCTTGATGGGGCGTTCGGGGTGGTCCGACGGGAGCGCAGTGGGGATGGCGGTATCGGTGGCGTCGGTGGGCAGTGGGAGACTGGTCGTGCCGGCGGTGGGAGTAGCAGTGCTGGTTACATCATGGTCGGCATCGTCATCGTCGCTCGGCATAGGCAACAGTGTGGCCTTGGAGGCGTCGATACTTTCACCCCATAGCTTGAGATGCCAGTCGATAAATTTGCCGGAGTCGTCGTTCACTTTGGTATCGCGGACAATAAGGGTCCATGTGCCAGCTCCAGATTCACCCCTAGTTCTGTCAGCAAAAATGGTATAAAATGCGCTAAGTTGGGTGACTTACCAATGAACAACGCTCATGAAAGTCCAGTCGTCATAGCCCTCGCTGCTGGTGTCAAGCTTGCGCGTAGCCGAGAGGTGACTAACAACGTTGTCCGGGCTGATTAGATCGACACTTAGATCACCTCGGCGAGTGTGCTCAACATTCATCGTAACGGTGACGTGTTCAAGACGTTCTAAGTTC